TCGCGTCAGCACCAGACAGAACAGGGCTTGATTTGGTGTCGAATTCATGGCTAAGCCGCTGAGCACTCTTTGAACTACTCTCATTTTTGGTATCGGCTGCGGCTGAAGAGAAGAAAACCTCGCGAAAGCTGAGAACAACGTGGAGGGCTACCAGTCGCTCTAGGCCATTGACAAGTTCTAGGTCGTTAGAAAATTGACGTGCAATTCTAATCAGCCCTAGAGCGCCAACCAAGGCATGGGAGACAAAAATGTCCTGCAGGCAATGTTAATCTCCGATATGTCATATGTTAAAATGTGAAGAAAATGAACATACATTGCTAGACGCGGTCGAACCGTTCTCATGATGGTCTGATCGGAGAGTCCATATCTCCAACACCGATACGAGAGGTGTATGAAGTCGGTGTGGAAAAGATGTAGCAGCGACAGCATTCATGCGACCAAGAGTAGACTGGGCATAGTTGCATGCCCTCCCAATGATGATAGCGCTTGTCTCAGCACTCCCACGCAAGACTAGCTTGAGCTGAGCCTTCAGCACATCTTTGGATTGCGGAATTTGTTCCGTAAGCTTTATAAGAGCGTTAACTGATTCAATAATCGCAAGGAAAGTATCGTAATGGGAGCTCTCTTCCTCGGGTTTTGTGTTCGCGATAGGCTCATCTGTCCGCGTACGCTTCCGAATTTGCTTAGAAGAATCGGAGTCCAGCTTCCGTTTTAATAGCGACCCAGGCTTTGAGTTGTATTCCACCTGATCGTAAGGGCTTGCCTGGCCGCTCGAAAAATCCAATCCCACTAAGGAATCCCGTAGGAGGCCAAGGAAATCGTTTTCGCTCAGTGTGAACGCCAGGCTCCTAATAGGAATCCGCATAAAGAGGATGCGCAATAGTATCCAAGATCGGCCATTATTCCGGTATTCAGTCGATATATCTGTAGGGCCTTTCAGCTTCTTCAGCAGCCATCGCAAAACCCATTCTTCCTTAGGTGCGGAGTGGGCGGGAGTAATTGACGGAAGTTCGCCATCGTCGGCAAAGAGATCCAAGTCATAGTCCTCAAAATCAACCCCAACAACCCTTGCAGCCTCCGTCAACTGCTCAATCGGAGACCCTGAAGTCCCCTTTTCCAGGGCAAGCAATGCTTGATAGGCAGGGAGCTGGCAAGCTAATATTAGTACATTTCACTCTACAAAAGGGAGAGCAAAGAGCTATATAACAAATTGGCATACCTCTGGCTCTGATCCCATCTTAAGTTACTTCAATCACCTTTAAAAGGCGGCTGCATGCTATCGTTCTTCTTTCCAGAATTCATATCTTCCTAATATCAAAAGGCACTTTGAGCCGGAACAGGTCCACTACCTCCCGAGTTTTTTTTATATCCGGAGATAAGATCATCCGGCTCCGATCTTCGCTGCCCAGCGCATTTCCCGAAATCAAGCAAGTCCGATCGAACAGTAGGAACAAACACACGAACGACTCTCTTCCAGACACAAAACGCCGTAAGTAAGATGCCATCTACTGGCCAATTGGTTCTATTTTCTCACAAAACTTCCATAGGTTTTTGTCAAGATGGCTGATTCCGCCGAATCTACCCAGTCTGTGCCTGTGCCTCGTGCCAGCAAACCTGTCAGCGAGACTCTACTTAACGAAAAGGTACGCTCTTCGGGCCCTGGGAAGATCCATAGTCCAACATAGCAAGAAAGGAAGAAGAACCATAGATTTTGGATCGTGGAAGAAGGATATGTCTGACCGATACGTTGAATTGGACTTTTTAGTGGGACCGCGCAATCTCCTCCCTCCTTATTCGATCCTCCGTTGGTCTTGAGTTTGGTGTTATATTTTCGATTCTGCTGTTCAAGCGACGAGCATGGCCTGCATGGGTAGGATTGGGCTTCGGCGCTGGTCGAGCCTGGGAAGAAGCTGATGGTATGCATCTCCAAGGCACTCTTCCGTTCGTTCCGTTCGGATGTGGGATATGCTTTGATGGGCTGTTGGTATTTTGTTGAAGAGTGGTTACTGACCTGTGTTTCATACAGCTTCTTTCCGACGAGGCGATCAGCCATGGTCTCAGAATCTCCGATTTCCAAGGTCATCGTAGATGATCACAGAGGAACAAACTGTGCGGCTAAAGTGACGAGGCCAGGAAATAGAAACAGCAAAGAGAGAATATACCATATGAATCTACCCTTTTCTACACCCGGCCTTACTTGACCTTTTCTCTACGCTGGATATACACAGCAGTGTGCGGCTCTGTCTACCTAGCTCAATTGATCCTTTCAAAATGTTGCGGGCCTGTACAATATGGCATTTTTCTCCCAGTTTTATCAGTGTTTTTTAGAAAGAGGATATAGGGTTGATTCAACTTAAACAGTGGTCTCCTCTATGCGGTTCTTCCTTTGTTTAATATATATCTGTGGTGCATTTTTCACATCATGCTGCTTAAAGTGTCACCAAGGGGAGGAGAGGGGAAAAGTATAGCCATAGCTCTATCTACTCAGGGTATAAAGCATAAAAATAAATACATGAATTAAGAGGAAATTGCATGGTCTATGTTCGTGTCCGGCCATTTTTAAGCAGGAGGAGATTCTAATGGAGTATGGCCAGGATAATGAGGATTATATCCACTTGAAGCCGAAACTTGTGGGTGTAGATGCGCCTGCGCGTCTGTTTGCATCTGCATCTGCGAGAGGGGAGGAGTTTGAGTCTGCATTGAAAATAAAGAGGCAGCCTGCTGGGTGTTTCCGCCTGAATCGCTCACTTGTGGTATGTCTGGAGGCGGGGAGGATTCGGCTGAAATGCCGTTGTGGCCATGATGAGTTAAACAGCCAACGCAGGCACAATTTATGCCGCAGTGGCAGGTCCCAGTGAGATTCGTGCAAGGATCAAGCATACTAATAGGGTATTCCACTGTGTAGTAAGCAGCAGGACTCATCATCAGTTCACCGTCACTAGCGTGTTGAGGCATTGTCGCCGGTATTGAAGTGTTATTGTTGCTGTTGTCACCATACCCCAAAAGTTGTGGCTGGAACTGTGCAGAATGGACGTAACCTTGGGGAAGGTGGTTCTGTCCAACAGCCGCTAGTGTATGAGACTCAGGAGGAAGACATGCACTATAAGGTGGTGAGTGGACATCGTCATTTCCCTCAGGCCCCTGATCACCATATCCGGACGCCATCATGTAACCCATTTCTTGGATATAATGTCGTGTGGTGTCATTGTAAGGATGAGATGCACAACCAAGACACTGACATCCGTCTCCACAGCCACAGTTATGGCCTTTGCACCCAACCTGAGAACTAGCAGGGCCAAAACTAGTGTGAAGCCCAGGCGGTAAGCTGTCAGCTGGCCCGAATTGGTCAAATGAATTGAAGTGGTGGTTTTTTGCTGATTCAGGGTTAAATGACGTTGGAGGAACGGAGTGAGCGGTCGGAGGATAGTGTGGATATTCGCTTTCTAAAGAGTTGAGGAGGAAAGGAGCGGGAGAAGGGTTAGATTCTGATATAGGAGGAGTTGAAAGTGATTTGTGAAGTAGATTGTGTTGGATCGGATGAGACTGTAAAGGAGTATCAATTGACGAAGAGGCTAGCTTGTAACCAGGAGCTTTCTGTATGTTATCCATAACGTTGGCCGAAAAGGAGGCATTTGACGAGCGTTTGGGGCCACAGCATCCGCCATTCTGTGGCGTATGTGTTACGGTAGTTGACGTGTCCGGGCTTTCTGTCTTCTGATATAGGCCGGAGTCTGGCTTTTCATTCGCTACCGCTATCGAATCATCCGCATTAGGTTTTCCCGGCGTAGAGGTCTCATTCTTGACTTGAACCGGTGAAGTCAGCATACCTAGCCCCCTAGATACGCTATCGGCGGAGGCCTGGATGCTATTCTGGCGTCTGGAACGTTTCTGAATGCGGTTTGCACTCGCCGAAGGGGTTGCAGGGGTAACCGGTGCAGATGTTACACCAGTTGTCGATGCCCCCACTGACGTTGGGCTGCCAGAGAAGTTTGGTTGCTGCTGAGTTTTTTGTTGCTGTTGTTGCTGCTGCTGCTGTTGTTGCTGCTGCTGCTGCTGCCCCGCTTCACCAGGAGCCATGGGCACTTTGTACAGCGGCCGGCAGAGACAAGTAGAACCTGACAAGACATGTTAGTACTGCGGTTAATGAGGATATCAGTGAGAAGGTATCTAGATGAAACTGATACTATTAATATGCTTACCTTTTGGTATTCTAACCATGAATGCATAGAGTTTCTGGCAGCTGCAGGTACCCTTTGGATGGGGGCATTTCTGGAGCGGACGACCTGCCTTGGGCACTTTCATCATGAGTCTGTCGAAGTGCTGGCATTTTGACGAGCGGTGTCCGCGTATGCATGGTTCGCTGTAGTGTTATGTTCGGTCAGCTGGTGTGTTATAACAAATAATTATTAAACCGTTTGAATAGTCGGTTTTATTATAATTGTACGGAATAGAGAGGAATCTAACCATGACCACTTGGCTCCCTCCTCGTCCAGAGGCATGATCGCGTTTCGTATCCTCAGGCTTCCTCCAGCTGGCTGCGGGTGCCGGCAGGCCTTCTTAACAGAACAACGGATCCCTCAAGCGCCACAGATCGCCAGGGCGGATAGGAAAGCGAGTTCAAGAATCTCTCTCTTGTTCTTCCTTTGCTTTTCCCTTTCTCTCTCGTCGACTGGCGGGACAGCTGGTTTAAGAGCGATCTGGACTCGTCGCTCTCTCCCTCGCTTGCTCGTTTCCTTGCTCCCTAACCACTGGTCGACTAGCAGGATGCCTGCGTGAGGCGCGGGCACAGGGCCGGGGGGGAAGAAATATGTGACGGCGGGCAGGGATGGCGGGAGTGATAACTAGCGAATGATAGCGCCACTGCAAACGAGAGCAACAGGTTCACTCTCCAACGGGGTCAACCCTCGACGTAAAAGAAATATCATACACTCATACAGTCCATACGCACAGCTAGCTGGCCAGCCGACCTCGCCGTCCTCGTCTTTGCTTCTAATAAAACGATGGAGAGGAAGAAGAAAAAAAAAGGCGACGTCAAAAAGAAGTTGAGGAGCGGCGGCGCTAGGCCCGAAATGGAAGGCTATAATTAAAAATTGGCCACAGCTTTTTGTTTTTTAATAGAAGAACGAAGACGGCGGCGAGAGACGCTGGAACCGACGACGAGGAAGACGACGACGGCAACGACGGCGACGACGACGAAGACGAAGACGACGAGGAAGACAAACACGAATTGATGCCTGCGAAGACGGACTCGGCGATGAAGACGGCGGAGGAGGGACCCAAGTCGTGGCTCCCTGCGATCCCCAAGCCTGTCAAACGTCTCTTCGACCAGTTCCCGCTGGTGACTTATCCCCCCAACACCGCGCCGGCGAGCAGCTCCAGCACCGCCGGTCCTGCCTCCAGCACAGGCACCGACACCAATGTGGGCGCTAACGAGCGGCCAGGCGAGCACCGGCTGTATATCTTCACCAGCGCGGACGCTGCTAGGAATGGACGGCCATCGGTGAACCCGCAGTGTCTCATGTGGCAGGTCAGCAATCCGTCTTCTTCTGGCGCCCGCAGTCTGCTGTCTGTTGCGTTTGATAGGCTGCCGGACTTGCATTTTGCTGACAAGGTAGAACAGGCATATCTCAGGTTCCGCGGGATAGAATTCCGTACGGTTCCTTCCAATAATCATGCTTCCCCCGACGGGGCCCTGCCTTTCCTTCTCCCCGCTGGGCCAGGAGGCGACTCGGAACCGAGCTGTGTCGCCCCCAGCAAGTTACAGAATTGGGCAGACACAAATGCAAAGCATCAGTATACAGAAGCGAAGATCAGTGGGGTTTTAAGGACCTACAAGTCACTGCTAGAACGCAATATACGCGATGCCTGGGTATGTACTATCCCTCAGGGGGAAGCGACAAAGACGCCGGACAGCTTTAACTGACGCGGGAAACGTCATAGCTCTATACCGTCTACTTGGATAGTTCCAATTTTGAGTCTATCGCAAAAAAGGCATACGTGAACCCCTCCACAACGAATCCGCTGGTGCGCGCGACTCTCGCATATCAGCTTAAGGAGGCGGCAAAGGACCAGCTGCAGCGGAAAGAAACTTACATTGACCCAGACGATATACTCGCCGAAGCAAAGCAGGCCTTCAAGTCGCTCTCTTCCCTACTCGGAGACAACGACTATTTCACGTACGACTCCACACCATGTTGGTTTGACGCTGCTGTTTTTTCGTATACCCACCTAATACTCGACAAGACGCTCGGCTGGAAATTCAACCCGCTGGCATCATACCTCGAAGAACACCCCAACCTTGTACAACACCGCCAACGACTCTTAGACAAATACTTCTAGAACGACAAGACATGCATAATACATTCGCGGGAGGAACGGCGTTGGGGTGTAGCATATATTCATCGTTTTGTTTATCATTTTTTTTTTATAGAGAGAGAGAGAGAGTCATTTCGTCGCATGTATACTAGCCAGCCATCAACATCATCATTACTCCTATCTTTTTGAATCTAGTCACTTTCTCTGGAAACACCCACCAAACCACACCCGGACGCCAATATACTTCGACGCCCGAGTCCCCAGAACAGGGGCAAGTTCCTCATCCAGCGTCACCTCCTTCATCTCCCCTACCAGCTCCAGCCCAAACTTCGCAGCCTCCGCAACAACCTCTTCTGCACTATGGGCATAGCTTGTCCCACGAACCTTCATCTTAGTCTGTGGATCGACAAATCCGGCCTGAGTGACGCCGCCCATTTCCGAATGCATGTTCGTAAGCAGCAAAGCACCACCAGGCTTCAATATGCCTGCCACAGCTCTGAAAAAGTCCTGCATCGGTACATGTTCCACCACTAGGGTTGATATAACTCCATCTGCTGCCAGCGCACTTGCAGGTGGCCCAGTAGGCCCGAGAATGTCGTACAGCTCTAGCTGAACATTGCTCGCACTTGCAGTGCGTTTGCGCGCCAGCTCAAGCATCTTCTCGGACGGATCCAGGCCAACAATCATTGCCTCCGGTGCGCGCTGCGCAAGGGGTAGTGTGTTTCTACCTGTCCCGCAACCAAGGTCAACGTACTTCGTCTTCTCGCTTGGAGACTTGTTTAGGGACAGAAATGCTGGTAGTAGGGTCTTCATCTCCAATGTGTCCAGTGCCTGGAGGAAGTTCCCGTCCGTATCATATATCTGTGAACCAGTCAGCGGATTCGTATAAAAACCATTCGTCATCAGGCGTCTACTATGCATACCTCTGCCCATTGGTTGTATGCATCAATCGTGTTGATGTATTTGACCTCCCTCTCGGGTGCCGTTGTAGTCTCATTCTGTGCCATGTTGGTAGTAGGTATCTAGATTGTAAGGTTGTACCTGAGCTCTCCCGCTTCTTTTTGTTTGTTTACCCCCGTCGATTCTCAAGGGCCTCTACACCGGCGAAGTTTCTCGTCTTTTATGCACAGTAAGGATTGGTGAAGGTATTGGTGTTGCAAGAAATACGAGTCTTTGACTCATGGATGACTTCCCTCTCTGGGACTCCGAACCTGCGCCCTGTGGTGGGTTTCCGGCCAGGTTTTTGCTGGTGGCAACACACAAAGCTCCCGTCAACTCATTATTTGACCAATTTATGTCCACATATCTACAACGCATTGAAAATAGGGGGTTTTTGTCATTATGTTGGAAAAAATAATGAAAAGTAAAAAGGACCAATTCACCTTAACGCCGCGCGCGCGAAAATTAGAGACAAGAAAAACAAAAGTCTTAAATACCCAAGCTGCAAGAATCGAAAGCAAACAAACAAGGAGCAGGGCTAGATATATACAAAACAATTAAAAGACAGCACTGCCAAATGGCGCTGTCTCCTTGAGGTCCTCGACCAGGTCTTCGACGTTACTCAGATACCTGCCAAGAAGATTCTGTTTTTCTTCGGTCGTTTTTGTGTCTGCACTAGCTGCAGAGCGCCTGCGCCCAGGAGCATCCACACTGCGCGACGTCGGGCCGCCATGTTTGCTTGGGCTGCGCTGTAGGCCAGCAGCTGTGTTAGGCGCGCTGGCATTCACAACCGGTAGTTGTGGTGTTTCAGGCATGAGATAGAAGTATAGGAACTCAACAAGTTTCAACTTCACTTCTCGAGACGTGGATCGCAACTTGAATAGGGATGTTATCGTGAGAAGGCCGTCAAGCTCCTCGAATGTGCGGGTGTTGGTAGGCGTGTCGAGCAGGGCCGTAACCAGAGTCAGCAGAGTGGCAGACTGGATGGCAGGACAGTTCGCTGGCTCAAGGAGGTCGAGCAAAATATTCATATATATCTCTCGGGCGAACAGAGCACGGGAAGGTGGGTGGAGGAGCAAGATTCCCTGGATAAGGTCGAGCGCAGACACGATGAGGAGGTCATTTGTGCCATTGCTTCCGCGACCAAGCAGGTGTTCGAGGCATGATATTAGGCGCAGAGCAACTGATGTTTCATAGGTTAGCTTACGCGATAATACTAACAAAGGGAAGACGCAGGATCGACACACCATTCCATTGAAAGCCATCTTGAAGCTTGTAGAACTCTCGGTAGGCTGGATCGTCACTCAGCTCGCTTGTTGACTTTGGCGGCGACGGAGTTGAATCCAGGGGTATCATGGACCGTCTCTTCTCGGCAGCCGTCAGCTTTGATCTCGAAAGGCATATCTGTGCCAGAAGCCCCTCGACCTGTCGGAGACCCTTGCGGATCTTGCCCTGGTCGTAGGAGGAGAGATAGTCGAAGGAGTGAGCGAGGAGAGCTTCCATCATGAAGCGCGTAGGCACTGGGAAGAGCGCTCGATGTGATGTTTCTTCCTGACCGCCGTCTGTCTCTTCTCGTGTGTTTGTTTCTTCCAGAAGAGGCCCGAAGCGCCGTGATGTCGCAGCTGCAGAAGATGTCGCGCGTTTAGTCTCGATCTTATCTTTAAAGCCGGCGACGAAAGCAAAAAAAGATAGCTCCTTTCCGAAAGCGGCTAAGCGTCAACAGGCCGCCGTTGCCGAGGAAACAAACACGTGATATAAGCGCCGGCTGCTCGGATGAGACGCGCTAAAATAGGGACAACGCAAGGGGAAGCCTCAGGGGTTCGTCGATCTCTATATCAATATTACTGGCTGGGGGCGCACAGATGTCGACGAGGATATCACAGACCTGCGTTTGGCTTGTAGTTTAGTGAAAATGTGCTCCGCACTAGTCATGCTAAAACCACCCTGCAGGTAAATATACATACAATCAGGTCCCTTCCATTACCCAGTCTTCATCTGAAGCCTCAGGCATCCCCACCTCCGCGGCAAGAGTTGGCTGAGCAGCAGCGGCGGCGGGAGCAGGGTCACCGGTGGGATTTGTTGGGCCTTCTCGACGGAGGTTGGCAGCAATAGCCTCCTCGAGGATTGAAATCCTCTCCTCTTTCCAGAGGAGCTGCTTCCTTTCGACAGCTGCCGCCTCTCGGAGGCGGATCAGCTCCGCCGCTTGCGCATCCATGGAAAGGCTACGGAGCATCTGCCTCGTAGTCTCCAGCTTCTCTTCCCCCCCTTTCTTCTCCTCTTTCCTCTCCTTTTCCTCTTCCCTTTTCACTGGCCTATGCTGGGCCCCACGCCCAGTCGCCACCCCTCGTCCCCTCGCAACCCCCGTCGGCTGTCCATGATGCCGGCACCAGCACTGTGGGCGCGGACCCCTTCCCCGATTTGCGGACTGCATGAAGGTTGATCAATCATCAGTTATCTGGAGCCAAGCACCATAACTTTAAGGGGGAACCCTTACCCTGGTCATGGCTCGAGACTCCACGAGGGTAATAAAGCTAGGTATGACGTATTAAAATAAGGCCTGTTCCTGCGTTTGGAGATATATGAAAGCATACGTACGCAAAAAGTAATTCGATTGTAGACAAGGAGAGGAAGAAGGAAAGAAGAAGGAGAAGAAAGAGAGTGGAGAAGTGAAAGGAAAGGCGAGGCGCGGAGAGACGCGCTAGGGTTTATTTCCCTTTGGGAATGCCTGTCCTATCAAAACGCTGAGCCCCAGAAAATAAGCCCATAGACAGGCCCTCTAAGTGAACATTAGTGATATTGTTACTAATACAATCTAATATTGCACGGACAGTTTCTTCTTGGAGTAGTATCCCCTTGCTTTCGTTGCATTTGCCAGTACTCCGTTTGAAACAATACATTAAGAAGAACTCCACTGAGGATATGACATATGACCATCCCTGATAGCGTGTATCAGCAGCCAAAGGAGAATAGTTTAGCGAATAATGGTATAATAATAACCTATACTGATTATTAAGGGGGTAGGTATATTATATTTGGACGTTGATTCTATGACCAAATCTATCGCTTGGCTGATAGACTCCAAGGTTAAATTTTGTTTTTTCCAGTAACTAGTTAGCTAGCACCCTTCCTAACATGATAGTGGTATATGTACTCCGTAAAGCTCAAGCATAAATTATACATCTTGGTTTTCGGTTTATTTGACTATCTGCACCAGACGGGAGAATTATTATGCAAGAGTGTTTTCTTTCCCTTGGCGGAGGGCGTTGGGCCTCGGCTGACGGGACCTCGGAGGGACCTGGTCACCTGATCGGAACGTAAAATCATTGTCCCGAAATTTCCTATTTCGGCTTAGGGAGTGATAGGCGACTCCACAATTGGTGGAAGCTTAAAACGACGTCCGCAAGAGAAGGAAGTTTGATCGGAAAGGTAAAGCAACATCAATGCAGCGAGCGTTGATATGTGGTGATGCTATCTGGAACCAACATTTGGTACCGAGGGTCACGCTGGAAATACTACCAAAGCAAGGAGGCCATGGACGCAGACCGACAGAAAGCCCCCCATTCCAATGTCTATGTACTCTCTGGCGATGTAATCGCCTCTATCCCATGCGTGGTGTTACCCTATCCTGGATCTAGTTCCCCTGCTCGTGGGTACGGCCGGGGGACAGTATATATACAGCTACCCAGGCGCCCTTAAAATCAATCCCTTGGCTTTGTTTCTAAGGAAGGAATGCGAGACAAAGCCCCTAGGCTCCTCTATCCAAATGTCAACAATAATATACTTATCTGAAAACGATACCCCCTGTTATTCCACATCTATCCACGGTATATGTGTGTGATGCATTTCTTATATACCCAGCCTGCGCTTACCCAACTAGCACGTGGACCTGACTCTGTCCGGGGAACTCTAGTAACTGCAAGCCACGCGAGTTGAGTGTTACCCTAAACTGGAAATGGCAGCGCGACTCGAGGGACGAGGTGACATCTCACAAGGATCTCTTCTGTCCTTTGCTTCTGCTTGCTCCTCCCTGGACCTTATTCCCTTAAGAGATACATTAAGGGGCTGATTACTCGAGCTATTAAGTAATACATTTCCTAGGAGACACATGGATGGCCCCAGGAAAAACCGTGTACGTCTCATTCCTCCGTGTCCATCGTATACCGGTGTTAACTTAGCTTCCTTTTCTGCCGTGACAAAAAGCTCATGGACCAAGGGCTGGCCTCCAAGGAGATTGAAGGCTGCGCGAAAATGTTCACTCGAAAGAAAGGGGATGAAACCTCACCCATCAATTGTAATAATCTCTGCAAAAAACAGTTAACTGGGTTATGGTGAGGATAGGGCCTCCCGGGTCCCCCGAAATTTATCCCATGACCTTACCAGGATGCTCGCTAACCCCGGGGGAAGTTCAAGTCTCTACTATTAAATGTCCCACATTGTCTCTCCTTCAAGATGTTAATACCTCAAGATCCGGCTTGCACACTCTTGGATGTAATAATTATTAAGTGCAGGACACAGGACATCCCAAGGCAACGGCAGGAGTGGATTCTACATATGCTTATGACATATTCAATTGGAATGTAGTAGTGATACTCTCACTAGCTTTCGAGCCAGTTTCACATACTATAACACAAAGGGCTGACTGAAATTGACTGGCACTTCGGTCCCGGCATCATCCTCTCACTTCTTCTTCTTCCTCCTCCTCTTCTTTTTTTCCCGTGGGATAACGTGTGGGTTCGAATCCCACGGCTGACATTTGCTATATCATTTGTTGTGATACCCCGAGTTCAAGCCAGATACTTAAGCTTGATAGCAGACGCCAGCTATATAATAAAAAGAGATGAGGTGAAATGTGGCCAACACCTTTTTCGGAGGTAACTGCTTGGAATTCCTGTCTAACGAACAGTTAAGGAAATGATTGAATCAGAGGGATATTATTCAATTGACAGTAGGTGCGACATCTACCCTTTGCGAAGGCTTAGATCGGGGCTTCAAAACTGCTGTGGGATTGACTACTAATGTAAGCTCACTTCCTTAGTTATCATCCTTAAAGGATGGACTAGGACGAATATTTCCATAATTGCTATTATGCAAACTCTTTTTTATCCGGAGAACGCCTAAAATGATATATCATGGGGCAGTGAAGCGGCCAGTCTCCCGTCACGCCATCATGCGCGATATAAATGGCTATTTTCCAGTAACAACAACGTGTTAATTGGCCTGCTCAGCTGCTCGCTATGGCATCCTCCCCACAGCTCCACGCAGCACGCTACCCCGTTTCTCCACGCCGAGCTAGTTACCCCTGATTGTTTACTGGTATGGGCTGGCTGGGGAATCAAGCACATAACATCAAGCAAGCGAACGAGCAAGGCCAGCTTCCTGTCGCTAGTTATACCTGATTGCAGCCGGGCTAATAATGAGACTATTGGCAGCTTATAAACAACACCCACAGCATGAAACGTGTCGATGGATGCAAGGAACAAAGGGACTTACCGACTCTCTGGGCTTTAGAAGAAGCGTAGAATGAGTTTAAACCATGGTACTAGTCATTGTTGGTAAGGGTGCCCTTTATTTGAGGTATTAATCTGAGCTACCGTGCGCGTGTGACATTTCCTTAACGACGAATGTTCGAGAATGAGGTATTTTGATGTCTTATAGCCGGTAGGACGTCGACCGTCGGCTGTGCTGTGCTGTGATGTCAAAGGAGGATCCATTTGTCTTGTGAGAAAGGGGGATGAGAAGCACTTATGTGGAATATGTAACGGTATTACCATGGTAAGCCTGTAAATGACGTACACGCCTCGTTTGTGTAACAAAGAATCGTGTGTTTTAACTTGGGGTAACAATGTATCGTCATGTAACAGTACCGCGCATGTAAACTGCGTACCCTCCCTCCCCAGCCTCGACTCCCATCTCAACAACAATCAACGACTCCGCGATCAACCATCGCCAGCTTCAGCTCGACGACGGCCTCAATCTCGAGCCGGCACCTTGCATTCCCACCTTCGCTTCGCCCGTCCACACGAACCATGCCAGAGCTGATCCCTGACCCTGCCCCCTTGCCCTGCAGGGAAGCTCGAGCGACAAGAGCATGACCAGACCCAGACTGGACATGAGGACGAGAAAAGACCAAGACGAGACCAACAAGCCGCTAAGGCAACTAAAGCAACTTTCCGTCCTTTCACGCCCACGCCGGCGCATCAAAGGGCCCCAGCCAAGGCTGCGAGAGTTATCCCTGTTGTACCTGTACCTCCGCGTGCCCGCAGACGGCGCCGGGGCAGCGATGTACCCGGTACTTAAGGCACTTCCGCTTTGGGCGAATGCTTATAAGCCCTCACCATGCAGCGCCAAACCGTGGGTTGACAGGCGACACGAAACATGTATTTATATAGGGCCGGGGGGATCCTGCATCCCCAGCCCAGCTCAGCTTGCCTGTGCAACTCTGCTTCACCTTTATACCTGGGGTCCCGCGGCAGCTCTTACTCACGTCTTCCGCTCCGTCTGTCCTGTGTCTTCAAGTGTGCGGAGAACCGCCTGGAGGTGACTTGAATAACTGCCCAGCATGGCTGATGATAAAATAGGAGGGTGAGTGGCTGGCTATACGGACCTCCAAACTGCTTGGCTGCCCGGCTCCAGCTCCTTAGCTTCGGCTTTTGCGATAATAGTGCTAACTCAGTTGTCCAGGGCTGAGAGACGGGGTTCTCTCTTCAACACTGCCAAAGACAGTAAACAGTTTACAGACAATGTCACCGGAGAGTGCGTGGACCTGATCTTCTCCCTCTTCTCGATGGCTGGTTAACTAAGTGTGGCTATAGGATCAAGAACCCTCTTACGGAAGTGCCTAAGGACCAGCTGCTCGAGGATGTACGCAACTTTGCCCACCAGCATGGCCTGCAGGATATCATCCCCTTGCTCGAAAAGGGTGCTCTAGTCGCGCAGAACCCAAGGGACTTTGAGTCGTTGCCTGAGCTGGACGAAGATGACCGTATCTGCCTGCGCGAAGAGGTCACGCATCGCTGGAAACTCCCTTGGGGCCTGTACTATACGATCTTCCTCAACTCCATTGCCGCCGCCATCCAGGGATGGGATCAGACAGGTCAGTGCTCTTTGCTAGTTCCCCACGATAACAAATTATTTTAAGTAGTTATGCGCTAACATGGTGAACAGGATCAAATGGAGCAAACCTTTCGTTTCCTATTGAGTTTGGTATTCCGGATAACCCAGCCTACTGCCCTACCGATGCGATCTGTGAGAAGAACGCATGGATCGTTGGTTTCGTCAACTCCATCCCATATATCTCCATTGCTCTTTTGTAGGTTCATTCAACTCCTTTAATCCTTCATAACCAATGTCCTTTGCTAATATGTAACCGTTAGCGCTGGCTGGCTATCTGATCCCATTAACGATTTGATCGGTCGTCGAGGAACTATCTTCATAGCGGCCGTCTTTTCCTTGCTCGCACCTATCGGATCCGCTCTCACTCAGAACTGGGGTCAGCTTGTTGCGTGCCGTATCCTTCTCGGAATAGGCATGGGCCTAAAGGAAGTTACCGTACCCGTCTTCTCTGCCGAAAATACCCCTGCCAACGTGAGAGGAGGTCTGGTCATGCCCTGGCAGGTCTGGACCGCGTGCGGCATCTTCCTCGGTACTATTGCTAATTTGGCTGTCGTCAATACTGGAAGAATCGCCTGGAGACTGCAGCTGGGCTCCGCCTTCATCCCGGCCGTCCCACTAGTGATTGGTATCTACTTCTGTGCTGAATCTCCCCGCTGGCTGCTGAAGAAGGGCAAGGTTGCCAAGGCATACCGATCATTGCTGAGGTTGAGAAACACTCCTCTACAAGCTGCTCGAGATGTGTACTTTATTCATGCCCAGCTTGAGCATGAGCGTGCCTTGCTGGTGGAGACTGGTCTGATCAAGACAGACAACTTCTTCACCCGATTCATTGAGCTTTTCACCATCCCTCGTGTCCGTCGTGCCACTCAGGCCTCTGGAGTTGTTATGATTGCCCAGCAGATGTGCGGCAGTAAGTTTGTCCCTATTTTTACCATCTATATAGATTTTAACTTGGAGATGCTAACATATTCATGCAGTCAACATCATTGCCTTCTATTCATCTACTATCTTCGAGCGAGCGGGTGCCAACAACATCACTGCTCTGCTGGCTTCCTTCGGCTTCGGTCTCGTCAACTTTGTCTTTGCCTGGCCCGCCGTCTGGACTATCGATACTTTTGGACGTCGTGGCCTTCTTCTCTTCACTTTCCCCAATATGTTCTGGACCTTGCTTGCAGCAGGCATGTCCTTTTATATCCCCGAAAGCAGCCCCGCACATCTCGGCCTTATCGCGACATTCATATACCTCTTCGGCGCCTTTTACTCGCCTGGAGAAGGACCGGTCCCCTTTACGTATTCGGCTGAAGTCTTCCCCCTCTCCCACAGAGAAGTTGGCATGGCCTGGGCTGTTGCTACGAATAACTTCTGGGCCGCCGTCCTGGCACTCACCTTCCGTCGCCTGGACCTTGCCCTGACCACGCCGGGAGCTTTCGGATTCTACGCTGGCTTAAACGTCATTGCCCTGGTCATGATATTCCTCTTTCTATACGAGACCAAGCAGCGCACACTCGAGGAACTGGACTATGTCTTCGGCGTTCCCACACGGACCCATGCAAAGTACCAACTCACCAAGGTCTTGCCGTGGTGGATCAAGCGGTACATCTTCCAGCGCAAGCATGCTGTGTGTCCAGAACTGTACCACCTGGACAGCATTCGTGAGCAGCCTGCCGAACACGACGGTGTCAAACAGGTATAAGCGATTTAGTTACCGGCAATGCCAGGGGAGCGGTAGAAGTGGTTCAGGGGGGTGAGGCCTGGCAGCTGCTACTGTATGAAGCGAGTTTGAATTGAATTGATTGGATCTGGTTCTCACTGTAGTTATGGATTATTGATATCTCAACGAGAAACGAACAAAGACACGATTTTGATTATTTATATCTATCTACTACTCCTACTAGCCTGCAGGATGCATCTTCGTACACTATGCCTGATCTGTATACACAGGGCCAGATCTCTCCTCCGCTTAACCGGAGACGGGGACAGGGACAGGGATAAGCAGGGCGTTTATCAGATTCTCCACACGCCAATTCGTTTCTTCAGCGAGCATTCTCCTGCATCTTCACAGCGTCAGACTGCTCGCCCTCCCTCTCGCTCTCACGATGGCCGACTGCCGGTGTCCCCTAGCTACGTGTCAGGCCGAAGTTCGCACTGCGGAAAAAGCAAGTAACACCAATGTCATAGTTAGGCTGGGCCGGCGGTTTTGGTTGAACCTCGCTCCCTCGGCCAGCTGAACTCGCCGCCCGGTTCGACACCAACATATAAAGACCAGACCTTCGACGTCCTCCTGACGGCTGCTCTTCATCGATCGTGTATTATCTGTCAATCCCCCTATCGACCTGTCTGACTGCGTACTAGCCTGACCATCGCAATGGCTGCCAACTTTCCTCCTCCACCAACACCTGCCATCGGTAAGCTACCAATGACTCAACCACTGCCCTCCTATCTATACGTAGATGCAACATCTCACTGACCGGCCGACTTACTCTAGACTGGACGAACATCGGCTTCAAAGTCCGAGAAGTAAACGGCCATGTTGAATCCCACTTCTCTCACTCCGGCGACGCCCAATGGTCGACCCCCCGTTTCGTCAAGTCGCCCTTCCTACAGCTGCACGGCATGGCACCGGCCCTCAACTACGGCCAGCAAGCATACGAAGGCATGAAAGCATTCCGCCACGCTCCCTCAGCATCCCATCCAAACGGCCGTGTCGTCATCTTCAGACCAGACCGGAACGCAGCGCGCCTGCATCACTCAGCGCAGTTCGTCTCCATACCCCCCGTTCCCAAGGAGCATTTCGTCAACTGCATCGTTCGAGCCGTGAGTGCAAATGCAGAGTTTGTTCCACCCAACGAGACTCGTGCGGCGATGTATATACGTCCGTTGCTGCTGGGTAGTTCGGCGCAGCTAGGCCTTACACCGCCGGACGAATATACCTTTGTTGTCTTCGTGATGCCTACGGGTGTGTACCATGGTGTTCATGCCGTTGAGGCTCTGGTGCTCGAGGACTTTGATAGATCTGCCCCCGAGGGAACTGGTAGCGCGAAACTTGGAGGAAACTATGCACCTGTGCTACGCCATTCGGACAAAGCTAGAGGTCAAGGGTACGGCATCACGCTTCATCTGGATAGCAAGACGAGGTCTGAAATCGACGAGTTTTCGACCTCGGCTTTTATCGGGGTAAAGAAGCGTGATGGACAGATTACGCTTGTGTTTCCTGATAGTAAGAACGTGATTGATAGTGTCACTGCGGCTTCGGTCAAGGAGATTGGAGAGCACATGTTGGGGTACAAGGTCGAGAAGAGAGCTGTCAAGTATGATGAGCTGGGCTCGTTTGATGAAGTTATGGCTGCTGGAACGGCTGCGGCACTGGTGCCGATCCGAAGTATCACGATGAAGTCGAAGGGTGACAAGTTTGAGTATGATGCCGGTGCTGCCGGTGAGGGAGGAGAAGTGTTTAATAAGTTGATTAAGACGCTTCAGGGGATCCAGCTGGGCGAGATCGAGGACAAGTTTGGATGGCTGGTTGATGCTGAAAAGCTGGAGGATGGATGGACGGAGCAGTAGGCTACTACTATTACTTTCGTATTACTTATGCATCATGTCTATGTTAATGGATAGATAAAAAATAAGAGTCTACATCTGAGAGAACAAGATAGTCATCCAATATGTTAAAATCTGTATTGAGCCTTATTCAGGAATACAGATAATGATATCATAAGGCAGCTAAGTTAGTTAGGTAGTTAGGTAGATGGAGGTATTAGATATTGTATATACAGTGGTAGATTGCACGCAGTCAAATAAATAGTAAATAAGGGTGTCGGTGTCAGTGTCAGTGTCAAGCGTCAAAGTCAAGTCAAAGGATGTATGCAATGCAACATGACTGGTGTATGCGATGGATGAATCCTACTCCTCATCACTCCGGAACCGGGAACCGATAAAGCCAACCAAACCAGCCAGTCCGCGAACCCAAGAGCAGCAAAATAAAGGGAAGTTGCAAGCAAGCAAGCAAGACAGGCCGGTCTATCAGGTATATCTTTGGACGAAGGCAGAGGGTAGAAATGAAGATAACGCCGCACACGTCATGCATTGCAGAGAAGAAAGGGAAAAGAGAGACAAGGGCAGAAAAAGGCGAATTTTTTTCCCATGTTCCTTTCGCTTCGATATATGTTTTTGTTTTGATAAGATTTTGATTTCTGGTCCCAGGAAGAGAAAAAAAAAGGCATAGTTAAATACCCCATAAAGTCCTAACGTTCTCCTTGCCAGAACAAGCGCGCTTCGAACTCGCCCTGCTGTCACCCATACCAGCAACCTTGTTGACCAAGAACGAGTCAGCAACCTGACTGTCGCTCAAAACAGCCAGAGAAGTGCCTTCATCCTCGAGGTCCCGCGCATCAAGGGCCATGAGATGGCGCACTTTCTGCTGCAGGTTGGTCCCTTCGGAAGTGGATGGGGCGCGAGTGCGTTTTCGGCAGTGTCGACTTGCCTTGCTTAGAGATGAGTCCATTGGCAGGGAAAGGCCGGTTGCTAATTCGTACAGGCCCTGGATGGCAGCGGCGTCAGGATCAGATGGGGTATTAATGGAGAAGTTTGAGAGGTCTGGAACGGTGCTGGAAGCAGTACTGAAAGCGCTGCTGGTGCGGAGAGGTGGGGAAGGGTAGTTGCTGATGTAGCTTGGCTCATGCTCGTCGATCGGAGTCGCGATAGCGAGGGGCTTTCTGTTTTCTTTCAAACAGTTGGTTGGCTGGGATGTGGGAGTGTTACGTCGGGTTGGTCTGGTTGCGCAGTTCATGGAAGTGACAGAAGAAATTGACGAAGATCGAGAAGAGCGCGAAGACTGGGAAGAAAACGATAAGGATGGTGCGTCGGAGGCCATAGACTCAGGCGACGAAGTGAATGACGAAGAACGAGCCAGAGACGAGCGTCGTCCCTGGAACGATCCTGATGACGAACAGTCAAAGGAAGGTTGTTTGCTAATATACAAGGGTTGCGTGGGACGTTGGTCCAAGGTGGTCCGTTGTACAAAGGCCGTCTGCGCCTGCGAGAGAGCAGAGCAGATGGACGGACGACACGCACTGATGCTCGCGGCAGGAGCAGGCGCGGTCATACCGACTTGCGGAGTGAGTTGCGGAGTAGGGAGAAGTCCCAGCCTTGGAAGTGGTGGGAGAGTAACACCAGACAAGTCAGCTGCCGACGGTCTTCGGGGCATCTCAGCAAATGGAAGCCCTGACGAAGGGCTGTCGCAGCTAGCGGGACTGCTTGGAGCGGTGGAAGTAGATGAAGGTGAAGAGGATGAGGAGGAGGCAGAGGAGGCGGAAGAAGAATCGGCAGGGGAGCCGACGCTCGACAATGACCACGGACCCTCTGCTCGAGAGTCAAGTGTGTCGAGCTCCGGCGTTAGAATAGGGATGACCGTTCGCCAGCACATCCCATCAGTACTGGGGATGCCGCTGGCGTTTGGTGTGTACTTTAGAACAATATCATTCCAGCGCTGGAAGACAGCATCTGATATGTGCAGACGCCAGTCAACAGCCTGGAGAAACATGAGTTCATTTTGGTTGATTTCAGCGGTGTTAAGGCCGGAGATCTTGCTCCAGGCACGGGCGGAGTAGTTTCTGTCTTGCAAGTACTTTGAAGCAAGGATGAGAGCAGACAGGAACATGCGCCGGCCACATTGCATGGCGCGAGAGTGAGACTGCTGCAGTTTTGGCTGTTCCATGGTGAAGTCGATGGAGGGCACATGCGGCTTGATGAGGATCAGATAGTATAGGGCAACCTGCAGAGTCGAGTAGCTGGTTCGGGACCTGCGGAGAGTTTCTTGGATGAACGTCCTGAGCGGCAGGACGCCCTTGCACCCGAGAGTCGACTCGACGCTTCTCGGCGCCGCAGCCACAGATAGAGGCCATATAATCTCAACTATCTGTGATGCGGAGTCTACAGGACGTTAGATGAGTTAAGGAAGCATGAGGAGTGGTAAAAGTGTAACATACCGACAAGGCTATCGACGAAGTTGGTTTTCCTCTCACACTGGCGAACCAAGGTAGGAGGAGGACGGGTAGCAACAGTCCGTCTCGGGTGGTGTCTCGTCTCAGCACCCTTTCCAAAGCAAGTCTTGACAGCAGCCTTCTTGTGCTGCGCATCAGCGGTCCCCTCATTTTCCCAGATAACATCTGCGGTAGACGAAGAGGACGCGACGGAAGGCTGAGAGGAGACAGCATCAAGCGAAAAGATTGACGAGGCGGAAGGGGGAGCGGAAACGGCGAGCGAGGCAGCGTAGGGACAGGTCTGGTGAACCGGCTTGGAGAGGCCTGGGTTCACAGGATTGTAACCCAAGATATCTACAAACGCCGACATTCTCTAGTGTATGGTAGTAGGAGCTTGTAGGTAGGTAATGTGTTGCCGTGTTGTGTTGTTAGAGTAGACCGATGAGCGATAACCGTGTAGAAGGGGCAGCGTTAGACGGGCCCGTCTTTGTGGTGACAAAATCCGGAGGCGACGGGGGGGCCTTATATTCAAACCAGATGCACAGCCAGACTGACGGTTGACGACCGTGGATCTAGTTATATAGAAGTATGGGGTGTGGTTTCGGTATGGAATGATATGAGTGACTTAGTGAGTCACTTAGATGGTAGGCGGCAGTTTGATAGAAGGAGGCAGAGGTAAAGTAGGTAAGGTATAGGTTAAGGTAGATGAGTCCCGATCACTGCACCAGGATTCCAACGAGCGAGACGAGAAGGACGTTGACGATGATGAGAGCTAGGCAGTTCCAGTCTTATGCAGGTACGACGCGGTCAAAGAGCTATATAGCAGCAGCTAGGTGGCGTGCCAAATAGATGAGTCTTCTTTGAACGGGGGCAAACGGCGGCCCGGCACTTAGACGGAGGCAGCAGTCATCATGACAGTCGTCGCAATAATAGTAGTAATGCTCGTAGTAGTGGAATGTTCTGGGCAGGTGATCGGGCTCGGGGTTGGCGTCGTTGGGGCCAGGAACATCGTTACCTGGGGGCAGTGAGGATGGCGTGGTCGATTAGGCAGCACCGGCACCGACTCGGGCGGCGGTTATCGTGAATCGACCGACCGATGACAGCAGGCGATGACGGAAGAGGAAGAGAGAGGCTGAGTAAATGTGAGTAATAGGAAATGTGAGTAAGGGAGAAGAAGAAGAAGGGGAGGAGAGAGGAGGAGAGAGGAGAGGGAGCTATATTAAGGACATGCTGGAGACGAGATCCAGAGCAAGGACTTTGATGATGGTTTATGACTCTGGGGGTGAAATCTGCAACGAGTGGCGAAAGGCTGTGGCGAAGGGGACAGAAAGTGAAGGGAAGTAAAAAAGGCTTGGGCGGCCGTCAGGAGTTTAAGAGTGGAGAAAGGAACCAGAGACCAAAAGAATGGATAGCGTACCTCGATGAGTCAAGAAGTAGAAGGCCGAATAAGCAAGCAGTATAAAAGGCAGCAGCAGTAGTAAAGGAGACGAGGAAGAGAGCTTTTCTCTTCTGGCAAAAAGGAGCGATTAATGCGGCATTAGCAGGATTAGAGGAGGCCGGTGAAGCCGTGAGTAAGTAGATAAAAATAGGCAGAAGAAGAGAAGGGAAAAAAAAGTATAGAAAAAAAAAGAGAGAAGAAAAAGGAGAAGAATCAAGAGACGGTATAATACGTAAGGTCTGCGTCTTTTTGATGTCTAGATTAAAAGGACCCGTCAGTTAGCTTTTGACAGACAGCAGAAGAGAGAGAGGGAGGGAGGGAGGGAGAGAAGAAGAAGCAACGGGAGGAAAAAGAAGGGGAGGCTTTATGTGCTGTTAATGGATGGGATGACTCGAACGAGGGCGGACGCCCAGCTTAGGCGCCAGCCCAGCCATCCCATCCACTACGACACTACCGTCGAGTCGGCCGCCCAGCCATCGAGCGAGCGAGAGCAAGCAAGCGGCGCGGACCAGGCACCAGGCAGGCAGCAGAGCAGAGTAGAAGCGCCAGCGGAGTGTTGAGTCAAGCAAAGCATCAAGTGATCTCGTCTTCGTCTTCGTCTCCGTCCGCCGCGTCTCGGGCTGATGGAGAAGGGCGCAGGCAGCAGCAGCAGGAAGAAGCATGAGTTAAGGGAGCCCAAGGGGACTGTCGACACTGTCTTACCTGACACAGACCTCAGCCGGCGAGGGTTGGCGAGGTCATCGAACCAACTCTCGCGAGCAGAATGGCGATGAAGAGTGGAGAGAAGATAACAGCAAGGAGAGCGGAGAGTGTTGACCTTGATGTCGATGTCGATGGCGATGACGATGTTGATGTTGTTGTCGTTGTTGTTCGTTGTTGTTGATGATGATGAAGTTGACGTTGATGAAGTGAAGTCGAGGAGGTGAGGTTCAAGAGGCCAAAAGCGGAAAAGCGGGCTGAAGTGGCAGAAAAGCAGCTTCTTGCTCTCGATCTCCCTCTCCCTCTCTCTCTCTCGTACTCTGTGTTATCGCTGTTATTATTATTACCACTATTTTACCCTTTGCTGCCAAAGTTTGGCCTCGAGCCACTGCTGACTGCTGACTGGCCCTTCCTGAATCTTCCTTGCCGGAGCGACTTTGCTTTTGCGGGGAAAGTCGGTGGGCAGCGATGTCACCGCAAAGTGGCCACCAGGCAGGGAGGCTGCCTGGTCGAAAGGCTGGGCTGTTTGAGTTAGTAAGTTGCACAGTCTCGACTACAGAGGAGAATAATAAGCTAAGGGATCCCGGGCATAGGTAGCTCGTCGAGATGAATTGATAGCTAACTACTAGTTGGTTAACCTACGTTCTCTACCTCTCTACTCCTCGGACGGGTAGCTGTGCCGTGGGAGAAAAGAGAGGGACTCCAAGGGTACCTAACTCGCTCGGGGCGAAGCTGCACGCATCATTCCACCTGCAAGACATCCATCCACCTATGGAGTAAATATATAGCTACATACGTGCTTTATCTTGGTCTGGCGCTGGTGATACGTAGCTGGTCTCTTAATCCCCCATTAATAGACTAGTGATGTTAATACGTAAATACAAATGACTTGTTTATATCATAGGTATCCAGGGACTTTTCGCTCCTCAGTCAATACGGTCTCCAAATATTTGTCCGACTATCCGTAGGTAGGTATATCTACTGGGACTGGATAGAGATAACAAGCATGCTATGCGTCTGATAACTATATGAAAGATATACTCACTGCATCATGTTAGTTAGCCACGAGTGGGTCAACTAGAAAAACAGGCTTATCTACAGCAAGTACGAAGTAACACTCTCCTAATTTCAGAGTGAGGCTACATTTGTGGTAAAGTCGGCCCTGCTAGTCCTGCTTGGAGTTAGTTATGCCACGGGATTAAGAGTTATGCAACCCGACGTGCTACGTCGGTCGGCCGGCCAGAATCAGAGACGTCGGTCAGCATCACTCGATGAGGCACAGAGAGACGCAAGTGAAAACTCTGGCTATCATCCACCAGGACATACTTCAGTAACGGTGTTCGCCGTTGTGGTCCGTCAAGAGTCAAGAATTTTGCCTCCCCATAGCCTCACTGCATGGCGTTTGCCAACCAACAAAGAAACCGTGGGCTTTTTTTCATTTTCCTCCTTTCCTTTCCGACCAACTGCCTGAAAATAGAACTTTGTCTTCCCAATAATAGTGACTAAATGATGATTACTCGTTTTGCTCTGAAAATTCATCGCGCTTCAATACTTACCATACGCTGAAGAAAGATGGGTAAAAATGGCGGGTCGACCCAGCGCGACTTCTCCGCCCACCAAGTTCCCCCGCAAAAGCGAAGTCACTCTGGGTCACGCCAGCACTTCCCACCTAAGTAGGTTAACACCCTTACCTAAGCGTCTTACCTAAGCAACTTGCACCCACAGAGTGGCCTCCGAAAGCTTCCGTCCCTTGTCGGCCAGGGCCGGAGCCGGGGCACGCGAGGCTTAGCAGTCACGTGGAGCGGCCTGTTATGTAAGATACGCTAGGCCGAAAGGGGAATCACGGCCGCAAGTTCCACTTTTGCGGCGAGATAGCCAATAGAAAGTAAGGGTTTAGTCAGATTCCACATCGGGTTAGATCAATTGTGGAGATAGATCGGGGTATTAGGTAAGCAAGGACAAGGGGCCCTAGCTCTTTCTCACAACATCTCGAGAGCCAGATAGGCAGCAGTAACTACTTTACATCCTCCCAGCAAGGGGGGCGATAGCTATCTAGTCGCTTTGTTAATTTCATATTGACTGACAGCAAGTAAAGGATGGCCAGCTTGATTTCCATCCCAAAGCCAATAGTTACCGCAACGCTCACGCCGAACTATATTTATGCAAATGGAGTTTACTCATATCTAGCTATATCGGACGGGTACAAATTGACCAAACTATTCACCTATTTCCAGGGTAGGGTATCGATGTTCCAAAGAAGTACGAGTAAATACTAGATCAAATGTCTACTAGCAGTTATTATAGTATAATGTTCACGTCCCCCTCCCCAAAAAAAGAGGTCTATGCCTTTTGCTTTCCCTTGCAGGTCGTCTTGTGGTTCACCCAGTCACGACGTTGATGTTCAGTTCCACAATACGCTACCTTCTTACAACCCAGACATAGCTTTCCAGGGGCAGAGCATACGACACATTTCTTCTCCGGACCCGTCTGTGGCTCTGGTTTAGGGTTGGGCTTTGGGTCTGATTCGGACGAACTTGGCCCTGCTGTGTGTTGCCGCTGCTGTTGACCTGCGGCTTGAGTAGAAGCTTCACCTTTGTCGCTTACATTTTTACCCTCTGGTTCCTCCTTAGTAGTAGTAGTAGTAGTAGTAGTAGTAGTGTCCATCAGTTTCGCCGGCTTCCCATTGATGTATAGCAGTGGCTCGCTAGGAGGACTAGACTCTTCGCCCGACGCTTCCTTTTGTTGTTCCTGAGAGCCTGCCTCTTCTTGTATGTCAACGTCAACGTCAGGCTTGCCTGCAACGGATGACTTCCCATTATCTGGAGCTTGCGTCTGTGGTTCTTGACGGGCCCCTGGTCCATGATCCTTATCCTCGCCGAAATCATTCTCCTTCGTCCAGCGAAGGGGGCTCTGTTCGACGTGTGCGGCCCAGTCTCGTTTCTCCCCCTCGGACATCGTGTACGTGAACCATTCGGGAAACCAATCTCTCCGACGTCTCTCCTGGTGCCAAAGCAGGCCAAGCTCAATCTCACATTGCAAAGAAGCCATTTGACGAAGCCATAACAGGCGGGACTAGAAAAAGTACGGGCGTTAGTTAGATAATCAACATAGTGTAAGGTATTGCTAGCAGTGCGTGCTTAATGGCCAGTTAGACTTACTCGTTCATCTGCGCTCTTTACTTTCAGGTTCAACAATGCTATAAGTGTGTTCAGGAGAAGAATGGTGACCACAATGATATATAGAGATCGCAACGTTCGAGCGGCCGCTGATGACCTTTCCCACACTTTCAAGGCATCATAGTCAGAAGCCATGAACTTGATTATTTCCGACATAGACAAGCCAAAGTCGGAGAACGGTGTCTGGTCTATCCCAGCCGAATCAATATTCCGAAGCAGCAAGAAGGGAACAAACGTGAAACCCAAGACAATTAACGCAAGTAGAATCAGAAAGGGTAAGACACCATGCAGCATCTCCGTCAACAGCAGCAGTAACGTGCCTGTTGCTTCATAGACCCTCAGCATTAGAAGAGCTGCAATCCATAGGAGGAGTGTCGAAAATGCCAGGAACGCCCTAGGCGGTGACCGGTTTGAGACAACAAGGCCGAACGTTGTAATGCCTAGGATAACAGCTGCCAGGTCAATATAGTTGAAAATGGAGCGGCGGAAAAGCCGCGGAACACGATACGCCTGTCGAGCTTTTATTAGGAAGATGTAAGCTGCAAGAATAGCTTCAATGCTCGCTAAGGCCTTGATGGGTGTTGTAATTGATGTCACACTGAAATAAGAATCGCCGTCGACTTCATCATGGAAAGTAATGTCAATATGCGAATTGCGGCCTGTTAATAGGATGCTAACCACAAGGTGGACCGTAAAGAGTATCAGCATCGGACCAGCAACGCGAGTCAGATACACTGAGCGTCCAAAGGTTCGCATCTTCCACCTCAGTAGCTTATCTAGCCAGATAACTCTCAAGAATAAAAATTGTGTCTCCCGGTCCTTTAAGTAAAGGATCTCCTCCACCAGTCTGGTGAATGGACTAGTTGGACCGTTTCCACTCTGTTCAACATAACGTAGTATAGCCGATTCCCAGGCTGCAATATTAGGATCGGGATATGTTGCTCGAATAAATTCCCAGTACGGGTCAGTATCAGAATTCGATACGGGAGGGGGTTTAAAGAGACGGTGGTTAAAAGATGAAAACCCAGGCAGGGGTAGGGTTACCACGCTAGAGTTGGCCTCGAGATATTCGCTAGTCGAAGAGATGAGCGATAACGAAGAGAGAAATCCACCAAAAAGTCGCCGCATAAACCACTGAATGTCGTTCAGGAAGATCCTGGTCTGCACATGCTCCAAGCCTGATTTAGCATCTCGAATTAGAGTATTGCTGACGCTAACATCCACTGGGCCAATTTCCACAACGCGGAAAGGCAAAAGTACAACATGCCGCATGAATGAAAGGGTTCCAAAGGGCCGGACGTGGCAGGCCAGGGGAAGCGTACAGGCTACTGACTGTGCATTGAACAATAGTTTGTCTTGTGATGACTGATGTAGCCTCCGGAAGAAAGCATCCACATGTCTAGTGCTCTGAGAGCGCCAGTCCATATTGCAAGCCGCAGCAAAAGTGCTTGGGAACAGTGGATTCGTGCCATTGTAGCTTCTGTCGTCATATATCATACTGAAATAAGATCCAAGAGCATCCATATATCGTCCTCCACCGAAGAAAATTTCGTTGGGGTTGTCCCCGTTTCTAAGGCCTCGGAGGCCGTATGAGTGCCACATTGCATGCTTGGCCACAACATAGTGTGAACGGTTCCGATGGCCATAGTCAAGCGTATCTCCCCCTGCGCTAACAACAACAGGTGGTAAATATGCCCCAAATGAAGTTGAAGCTATTAGTAGTGGGTTGGGAGTTGTCATCCAGCCACTGGGAAGAGTTCCATGTTCCGCTTCCTTGATTATAAAGGTATCATACCAGGCATCCTCTTCGAGGAAGTGTGGAGTGATGACTGTGTGTCGTGGCAGCGGTAGTGGTGCTCCAGAAAAGGATCGGCCAAAGGAAGTATCCTTGCTAGAAAACACGGAGAGAATATAGTGAGGCTCTTCTCTATATACTGCAATCTTCTCTAATCCCGTGTCTGATGAGAGTATAGTTTCTGAAACATACAAAACACAAACTATACCAGGT